GAAAATATCGAAATTGTTTCCGCAGTTCTCAACTTTCTCGAATATCTCCTATCTAAGACTGCTACGATGATATTTAAAAAAAATCACTTTTTGCCTTATGAAGTTGGTGCTTTTAGTAGTCGTATTTTTGGTTCCACAACTCTAACAATTTTCTTGTCAGAAACCTAGTTATCAGATATTTTTGTAGAGATTTCCAAGACGAATTTAATAAAAAAAAATTTAAGTCGATTGGACCTAACCCGACGAAGTTATAGTGAAAATAAAAAAGTGCGTTTATTTCTGTTACACCCGTTAGTATGTACAAACCAATACCTCACTCTCACACTGACGAGGGAACCGCCTGAGTGGGACTATTTTTAAAATGTAGATCCTCATGGACTATGAAGAATCCCAACTTGGTTCGTGCGCAATCAGCTTTGTTGCTGAGATATCGAATTTTTACTCGAATATTCCCCATAGGACCTGGATTTCAAGCAAAATTGGAGTTTTGAATTTCATGTTGTAACTTATCACATATTGTAGCCCAGATCAATTGTAGTCGAATGAAAAAAGCCCGAGCTCCAAACCTCTTTCCACTGCGATGAAGGAGCTTTTTCTATATGGGCCCTAACGGCAAAACATGGAGCACGTTTTGAAAAAGTTCTTTCACCCTAACAGAAAGAGGTTTAGAGCTCGGGCTTTTTTCATTCGACTACAATTGATCTGGGCTACAATATGTGGTAAGTTGCAACATGAAATTCAAAACTCCAATTTTGCTCGAAATCCAGGTCCTATGGGGAATATTCGAGTAAAAATTCGATATCTCAGCAACAAAGCTGATTGCGCACGAACCAAGTTCGGATTCTTCATAGTTCATGAGGGTCTACATTTTAAAAATAGTCCCACTCAAAAAGGTTTTTAGCACCTCAGGCGGTTCCCTCGTGAGTATATACTATATACTCAGTGTGAGAGTGAGTTCCAAGAGTCATTTCACACAAAACATATTTTCATGATGCGGAACTGTATATCGGTAACTGTATCACATAATGACTATTCGCAACATAACTTCACTCAAGTTTCAAAATATGATGTACAAAATGCAAAACCAGGCTCATTATTCTTCTTTTCCAATAAACAAGTCTTCCTGGTAATGTCGTTCACGGAAATGTCGTTCGTCAGTCTTCGCGGCAAAGTCGTGTGTCAGTTTTTCGACGTGAAAAGTCGAAAAAAACAAAAGTGTCCGAATAGGACGATGATTCCGAAAGTGATAGTTTTATCGCATAAAAAGTGACTTCTAGCGGAGAAAGTTGAGAACTGCGGAAACAATTTCGATGTTTTCGCTCGTGATTTAGAAAAGATGAAATTTCTCAGCAATGATGAGGAATTTCAGAAAACGCAGAGCGTACTTTTAAAGCTCATTTAATGACGGTTCCAATAAAATAATAAGGTCAGCTTTATCTATTCACACAAAAAACTAGATAGGTTTGCAAAATTGTTTAAGAACGTTTCACAGGGGATGTCGAAGGCGTCTATATTGGATAGACCTTTGACTTCAATCTCGATCAAGCATAATTCTCATACTCAGTTTCTAATGCTGAATTCGAAGAAGAAACTTTCGAAAGGTTAGAAGAATGAAAAAGTTTGAAACCGAAGAGATTTTTGAAATTTTAGATTCATCTAGTATTTCGAAGATTTTTCATTCAGAAACCAATTTTTTAAGCTAAAACGTAGATGTTCTTGATCAGTTCATCGAGCTCTATCGATTGATGTATAATTAAGCGAAAACTGAAATGATGTGGGAAGTTTGAATTTGGTATGCTTATGTGTCATAAGCTTTATGAACCGAAAGCTGATGACATTATCTTTTAATATTTTAGTTCATAATGATATAGCAGTTATCAACCTTTGAAACTGTTAAGTATTTGATTAATCATGTTATTCTTCGTTTTGCTTTGAAATAGCATCAGGTTTCATTAAAACAGTCAAAAAGAAATGGAGTTAAGAATGGTTTTTGACGGAATAAGGAAGATGCATTCTTAAGATCTACTCTGGAAATTTTAGATTAAATTGACCATGTCTTGTAATAACTCTCGATCTATACAATCACCTAATCGGAATCAGCCATTTCGAGCATCATCTCAAAGTTACTATAATTCGCAAACAAAACACCAGTATGATCATCATCACCGTTCACGGCAATCAGCAAACTCTCAAAACAGAGGTACTGCCGGTCCACCACTGTCCACCCATACCACCATAGATGAAAGCGAAGCACTATATCGCACATATCCATATCTATTTAATAAAGATTTTCGGTTTTCATCCGTTCAAGCCCATCAAATACCTGAATTATATACAACTAAAATATGGTCAATGGATAGACTCATACAGTTGAAGGAAAAATTGAATAGAAATCGTAGTGCACTAGATGATAAACCTATAGAAGAATGGAAACGTCATACGAAAAGAACAAATTTAACCAATGATATTGTTTATAAATTAAGAAAAGATTCTAATATTGAAATGTGTACAAAAGCGTGGACAAAAATAACTGAACTCTATAATAAATATGATGAACTTATACCAAATTTGAAAGATGAGTATGATAATTGTATAAGATTTTATACACTACATTTATGTGAGGGACCCGGTGCAATGATTTGTGCAACAAATCATTTTCTTCGTCAGAAATATGAGACAAATCTTAACTGGCATTGGATGGCTACTACATTAAATCCGTATAATGAAGCGAATGATACTCAAGCGATGCTAATCGATGATCGATTTATTGTGGAGACAATGAAGCAATGGTATTTCGGTGTAGATAATACGGGTAATATTATTAATCGAACAAATATTCGTGGTATATGGAAAGAATGTGTTGACGAAAATAAAGTACAACTAGTAACAGCTGATGGCTCAAAGGATTCAAGTGATAATCCGAATGAACAAGAGGCAGGTGTAGCTGAAATATTATTTGCTGAAGTTATCACAGCTTTTGGATCATTGCGACAAGGCGGCTGCTATGTTATGGAAATGTTTAATCTATTTGAATGTCATACTGTTTGTTTAATTTATTTATTAACATTATTCTTTGATCACGTTTCAATATCAAAACCAGCTTCTTCGCCTGCGTCCAATGCTGAAACGTATGCTGTTTGTAGAAACTTTCGGGGTATCTCAATGGATGTTTTGAACAACTTGCTTAAATTTGTTGGTCAATCTTCCTCAGGAGATATGGCCATGTTCCCAGAACAATTTGTTCCTGCTAACTTTCGAGAAGAAATGATAAAATGTTCAGAATTCTTTACTGAGAGACAAATTGAATCTATTCAACGAAATCTTGATCTCGAAGATAAATGGACAAAATCTATGAATGATTCATGTAGAAAACTTATAAACAAAGTAACAGATGAATTTATTCAAAAGTATAATATTAAATTAATGGATAGCCAATATCGTATTGTTAAAAGTACAGATCTTGACGGTGAAAATGTTGGAAATAGTATGATTTCATGGCAAAGAGCTCTTAAGTCAAAGGAACACAGAAAGAACGTCAAGCAGTTGCTGAAAATCGGAGATCATTCCTTCAAGGTGTAACTACAAGTCATTTTTCAACTATTGAAACTACAAATGAAATACCTGTTATTCCTGGTGAACCGTTTTTTGATGAGACTGACGTTTCACCTTCATCGATAAATATCAATTCACAATGTATTATTGTTGCACCTAAATTAAAGACGGTTATTTCTTCACTTTTCGTCCTCGCTCAAACAGTTGAACGGCTATACAAATTACGTGAAAGTATATTAGATATGGAACAATTTTGTTCTCGATCAAAACAAATATTTTTCAGTGAATGGTTAAAGGAAATAGGCTCGAAGAAATACAGTTTTCCCGAAGTAGCCATTCAATTAGCCTCTCTTGATAAAATGCTGAAAGTTGTAAGTGACTTTCAACCATCATTTCCTCAAGAACCACTACGGTTCATTGTATTATCTGAAAGTTACGGCTCTGGTTGTGCTGAATATATTAATTGGCAACAAAATGCTTTTATTTATGGCGTCATATTTATAGCAGAAAAGTCACAAAAATATCAGACTCGTCAGCGTGATTGTTATCTAGTACATCATCCAAGTACACATCAACTTGAACATATATTCAAGAGTGAATTTAATAATGAACAGGTCTATTTGATACAGTGGGAAAGGAAATCAAAAAATAAGATCGAATGGCGTTTAACTCTCTCGTCCCTAACTTCAATCCGATGAAGAAAAAGGACAATTATTATTATTATTATTATTATTATTATTTGATCATAGATGATGTATCAATACCATATGAAGCTGTAATTAATACAAGAAATGTTGAAGCTAAGTATAAGGAAAAGTTTTTACGATCATGTCGTTATGCTCTCAAATATCTTGGTATTAGAGGAACTTATGTATGTAAAATATCCGAAACGTTAACACGTTTCACCGCTGGTTTACTCTATTTACTTTATGTGAGTTTTGACAAAATAACAATTGCTAAGCCATTTACTCTGAGTCCAGCATCACCCGATCGCTTTCTTGTTTGTCAAGGATATCTTGGCTCCCAAGTTTCTTCAGGAATTATTGAACATATTGAACATGTTATACGGATTTTGGAGGTCGAAAATATTAAAGGTAACGATATTATGGAAATAGTACCACTGTCGTGCATATTTTGTCGAACATTTTTTAAATATATTGCCGATACAACTCAAAGATTTATTGACAGAGAAATACAAGCAATACAAAAAATTCAATATATGAATTCAAATCCATCTTCAATACCGAATACAGGAATTAATTTACGTTTACAAAAAGCAACGGAACGTCTTTCAATAAACAAGAGAATTATTAAATAAACTAATATATCAACACACTGACTATATTTTCATAACACTCATTAGATTGCTTATATCAATTATTCCATAGTGAAGATATTCATAGATTTTTGGTAATTTAATCACTTGTCGATCACAATGATTTGAATCACTGAAGGACATCCCTCGGAGGACAGTGTCATTTAACTGGAATCAATACTTCATTTTTCATCTATTATTTAGTTGTTGGTAATTTGACCGTATCTTCCCAACGAAGATACTGAGTCTTATAAACGAACAATTCTAAATAACACAACTGTATCTGTCCAGTCCTCCTCCTCCTCCTCATCATCATCATCAGCATCACTACTTATATCCGAATCGCGCAGCTGTTGAAAAACTTCTATGTAGTTGTATGCAAAATGACGGGAAAAACGCTGATATTCATATAAATCTATATCATCATCAAGCAATGCCTACGTTAGGTAGACATTTGCACTCCACAGAACTTTGAATTATACAGTCATTTTCTCGCTGCATGGCATTCGCTTTTTTCCTTCTTTCTATTGCGTATTTATGTATGGTGTGGTACTGTTCCCTTTTGTTATACACTTCTCCTTTGTGATGTGGAAATGTCTGTTCCTTTTTCCAAGGGGGAATAAGCGGACTTCGGGACTCCACGGAACTTTGGGACTTCATGGCACTCCCGGACTGTCTGAAGTGCTATGAAGTCCAGAAATGCGTACGAAGTTTTGGACTTCGATAAGATACAGAAAAAAGGCTTTGCTAAGTAGGTGATGTGAGTACATTGAGTAACGAAAAAATCCCAAAAGGCATGTTAGATCAAAAAGTTGAAGTTTGTTTCATAACGAAGCACTAAACCGAAGTTGATGAAACATGGAGTTCAGAGGTTTTAAACCATGGTCTTTCTAGTAGTGATGTTGAAAAGGTCTGAAGAAATCAGGAATTAGGACTTCCAGAAAACCATGGTAAAGAGAAGAGCAGTGAACTCGAAAGCAGAACTCGAAACGAACTAAATACGTAAAGAGAAGAGCAGTGTTTATGACAAGAAAGAAAGTTGGTTTTTTGAAAAATTTCTTTTCTTTCAAACGAATATGGTGTAAGCTGATAAAACGACTATATACTCTGTGATAATCAAGGCTGATGTGAATAGAAAAAAAGAAAGACAAGTCTAAGCTATCTTACCGAAATCTTATAAGATTCATATATTCCTTCGTAGAAGAATCTTATCAATAAATTATGTATTTCCATCGACTGTCTTATATAACCTCCTTATAAGATTTAGAAATCTTATTATATCTTATATAATATTATATTTATACTATATTATATCTTACTAGAAATCTTATAAGCTTATATAAGAAAAACCAACTTTCTTTCTTGTCATAAAGACTGCTCTTCTCTTTATGTATTTATACTAGACATGTGCGGTAACGCTAAAAACGTGTTACTGTTACCACCGCTTCGGTAGCAACTTCGAGTTTTTACCACGGTAATTTGAGACCGGTAAAAAATCTCAAAATTTTACCGCGATAACCTTCGGTAACAAAATCCTTTACCAAAATACCATTACTGCTGATGCTCAGATTGTGAACAAGACAACCCAGGACATTGAGAACTGCAAAGTTAACTACCGGTTGATGTGCAATTGACATTGCTTTTGTTGATTGTTTTTAGACCATTCAGACAGTTTTTAGATGGTTTGGATGGTATGATTTTACCACAGTAGATAGGTGGTTTTTCGACTGTTTAAAAGCTGCCAGTGAACCGCATTCTCATATGTCGAATTTTCACAAGAAGCTTAACCGTTAAAAGACGGTTTACTGGTTGTAAATAGGCAGGTTGCGCCACCAATTTACAGCAGTAAAACGGTCGACTTAAAATAGACAGTTTTTAGGACGTTTTTAGGCAGTTCACTACCAGTAAATGGTTTAAACACGACTAATAAACCGTCAACAAAAAAACAAAAAAGAAAGAAAAAAAGAGTAATAGTGTTAGATGTTTGGATTCAGTGTCGGGGCCAGTCGGGAAATGTACGCCCTCTCTGCTTTTGGAAAAAAAATTTCTCTTATAATACAAAATTTGAACTTTTACAAAATGAGAGAACCGCTATTATTTCATTTTCAAACGTCTCTAAAAGAGATGAAGCAGTGGGTATATTGAAAGTGAATTATGTCCACGTTTATTCCGATCCGGAAGATGATACAGAGGGCTTTGAGAATTTTTTGTTGACATATGAAACTTTTCAAGAGGCTATAGATGCTTTTCGAACCCAACTCTCTGATTCATCATGGCGAAGCGGTGGTAACGGTAACACGTTTTTAGCGTTACCGCACATGTCTAGTATAAATACATAAAGAGAAGAGCAGTCTTTATGACAAGAAAGAAAGTTGGTTTTTCTTATATAAGCTTATAAGATTTCTAGTAAGATATAATATAGTATAAATATAATATTATATAAGATATAATAAGATTTCTAAATCTTATAAGGAGGTTATATAAGACAGTCGATGGAAATACATAATTTATTGATAAGATTCTTCTACGAAGGAATATATGAATCTTATAAGATTTCGGTAAGATAGCTTAGACTTGTCTTTCTTTTTTTCTGACGTATAACTAGCATGTTTTCAGCCCGGAAGTGATTTGACACTTACATATGTTCCCTCGTCAGTACGATCAGTGTGATTACATATATATAGTGATTTCCACTATCTGACTACCTTCAATTGTCTGACATATATCACTAATAGTGTATTCCTCAATCAGAAGGGCCCATGCACTATATTCCAATGAAGGTATATTAAAAAACCGTATATTCCGATCGCTACATAAAACGCTAAAATTACCACCAAAACGATTACTGATAAAAACTTATTGTACCTATCGCCCAAAACCAACTTTAGTACAAGAAAGAGTTGAAAAACTGCATAGGGATTAATTTTCTGGATGCTCGGTCAACTTTCTGCCAAGCAATTCTTTATCTTAGGATTCAAAATACATGCCAAATAGAACCATATAAACAACAATTTAGAGACATAATGATCAAAAATCAAACCAGTTTCGAGAAATTACGTTGGAATGTTGCTGGTGAGTACAAGGATGTAGCTAGAAAGAGTTGTTAGTTATGTCGTTCTTTTCTGACAGTCCGTTGTCATGACTTCTGGCCCAATGAGGCGACATTGCCGTGCTGGCAAGATATATTGCCTGAAGAGGCAATATGGTCTGATCGGGCAAGGAGTACTTTGCCCCTTTCGGCCAGATTTGTACATTTTTTCTCGCAACGCATCAGCGCAAAAATGCAAGCGATGACGCATAAAGTGACTTATACCACTTGAAAGAGCGTCGAAAACTGCGTGAAAGGACGCTTACCCACAGCGGAGTGGTGCTTATTTTTCCAGAGTAGCGAAGAAGCACCTTTTAGGGGTTTACTGCTGGAACGGGCAATATGCCCGATTACCCAAGCAAAAACGACCCAATTTTTTGGGTTATTTATCTAGATTCAGCTCCACGTACATCCTGAATCTAGATAAATAACCCAAAAAATTGGGTCGTTTTTGCTTGGGTAGGGAAGAAGCCTCATTTTCGAGATCAATATGTGCTATTGAAGTAAATAATTTCGCCTGGATGAGTCTATTAGAGAATTGGAAAAAGTTTTCTTCCTCGTATAAGTCTTAAAGTAAAGTATAAACGATAGTCTGTCTGTCTTGTTCATTTTAGACCACAAAACTATACGACTGTTCCACACAAAAAGAACTTTATCTATAAAAGTACAAAGTTAGAGAATGAATACAGATAAAAACAAAGAAGAGCACTCATGAAATTTATTGAATATGTTCACACTTATTTGACAGAATTTTATTCATCTTAAATCACAATTCTTGTTACACTTAACCTTCCTATGTATTTATATAAACGACCTTATCAGGGTGGTACGTTCGGTACCAAAAGTTAAATCGACGGCGTTCAATTATATGTCCTATGACACTGTTCATCAAGTAATGCATTGTCCGTGTTCTTCATAACTGAATCGTCCATTATGTTTTTAAAAAAGTCAATGGAGAATAAAAGCCACTCGATGCAAAAATAACTAAAAAACTTTGTAACATAAAAGCTGATCTTAGAAAAAATGGTTGCAGAAATATAGTCGTCTTCTCAAGAGGTGGTGACCGTCCTCGTAACAAGTTGTGACCGACTATTTAAGAGATTGTGACCGCCTAAAACGCATTCTCCTGATATCACTCGATATCAGACAGGTACGTAAGAGGCTGCGGCCGACCTGAGTGACTGTGATCGTCAGTTTCAGAGGTTATGGACACAAGTTTAAGAGGTTGTGACCGAAAGTGAGTCTTGGAGGGAGTTTCACAAAGAAATTTTCTAGTAAGGCTTCGTACGCATATAAATGTGCATAAAGTACAAATAAATGTATGTCGATCAATACATCTGGCAAGATATATTGCCGAAACAGGCAATATCGACCTTGCCCGAACTAGCACTATTGCCAGATCGAGAAAGATAAAATGGATGATATTGAGCTAAATTTGTCTTTCGCTTCTTCCATGACAACGGAAAAGGGTGGAACACATAATTTTGATGCACAATGAATATACGCCTAGGTTGTAATGTGCGCCGCCCCCTTTACTGTATCATTTGGATTGATAAGAAGTATGTCACGCACAATGTTCGATTTACTTTGCGGCATAATCTGACGAATGGATATATGCTGATATATTTTCACGTAGTGTCTCAGCTGACGAGGGAACATATGTAAGTGTCAAATCGCTTCCGGGCTAAAAACATGCTAGTTGTAGGTTATCAACACGAGAGTTCCCCATGGGGCTTCTAGAGACCGGGCTTCAGCGATCCAGGTTTCCAAAGACCGAAAACTTACTTACAGTAAAAAAGATTTTGATCAGACCAGATTACAGAGCATGCACGAAATAGAAAAAAGAAAATAGAGAGATGAAAAGTAGAGTACAGTCAGTATTATACTAAAAGATCACGCGTACACACATGTAAAAAGACACAAAATATCTTCAAATTTCACCGTGTTAAAAGCGGAAAAAAGTCTTCTTACGGGCCCAAAAACCTTATTAAACCTCTAAAAACTGGTTTCCCAGATGTTTTGAAGCATGCTCTACAATCTGCTCTGATCAGAATTTTTTTTACTGTAAATAAGTTTTCGGTCTTTGAAAACTTGGGTCCCTGAAAGTCCCATGGGAAACTCTCGTGTCGATATTCGAATTTAGGACCCTTGATAACCTATAACTAGCATCTTTTCAGCCCGGAAGCGATTTGACACTTACATATGTTCCCTCGTAAGATACATTGGAGAGGGAAAGTGAATGAATGAAATGTCTATCAAAGAACGGGCAGCTGTCTGAAGAATTAATTCACATTACATGTTCAAATGTTTGCCGCAACGTCTTTGCATGTAAATGGCGTGAAAGTCATTGATATTTTGTATAAATGTATGTAAGAATAATTCCACAGATAGGCGTCCGCTGTTTGAACACGATACTTCAGTTTTTCACTTTCTCTCTCGAGTGTTTCTCACCTGAGAAATGTGTGAAGTCCACAACGGAGCAATTCTCTCATATTCTTTGCAGATAGAGCAGTATCCATTCCATTCTTCAGTTATTGTTGTTTCGCATCCACTACACACTTTTCCGTCGTCTTTCTCTATTTCTGTAACGCCGTACCACCACTTTTTACTTCCATTAATTTTGAATCGTTCTCTCGCATTATCCCGTCCTTGAACTAAATCGAGTGCCGAACACGTTAACTGTAATGGATTTTCTTTAATTATACATTTCATATTATCTGTTACAATATAATTACTGTATTTACGAATAGTAATATGCACCTTATCAAACTGTACAAGTTTCACTTGAGCGTTTTTAAATTCTCTTTGAACTTTTACACAAACTTCATTCGAAAAGCGCCAAAATTCTTTCAATTTCTCTGATTCTTTAATTGATAATACTACAAAATTAGTTTCAGCTCGACCTTTCGCGCGAGTTTGACCCGAAATAGTTTTAAGTTCATTGGTTTCGAGCGTGATTGGAAGTTCAGGTTGATTTTTGGCTAGAGTGTTCAGAACATTGCAAAGCGTTTGTTCGACTATCTGAAGTTTATCTTCATTGTGAGTTTTTTCGCCCATATAAAGCTGCCCAAGAGTTACATGGAAGTATTTTTCCCAGATATCGCATATTTGATCGTTTTTGTTGTCTGTTATCGTTGAAATATAGTCGTGAAACGCATTATGGCCACCGAATCGTTTGCCCGTGTTTAGGTTCACAAATCCATCAATGGAGGGCGATAGACGCAAATGGAGCGCATAACCAGCTTCATCAGAATGATCGGAAGGAACTGGAGAAACTGGAAGATACTTAAAGGTGTACTTGCTCGGTGAATCTGCTGGCACATTTTTTCGTTGCCACGCTGGTTTCAATACGAGTTGGTTTGTCATATGGGATATTTATTGTTTATGATGCGGTGAATAACTAGAAAATTGTTTTTTTGTTGAACAATAAATTCAGATAAAGTAGAAGTTGAATATGAATATCAAGAGTAGTGTGCATTGTTTTTAATTTTCTTTCATCAACTCTACCTTGAAAATAAAACGATATTTTTTCTTCGTTTCTCAGGCAAATAACACGTCATTATTTTTTCTAATGTTTAATAATAAAGAGAAAAATCCACATTTGTCATAGAAATATTAGAGCTTTAAACAAACAAAGCTGTCAGTAAGTTTTTGGTTTTAAAAAGAGATGTTTTTCAACAAAAAGTACGTTCGTAAGTTTTCCGATATTACACGTAAAAACAAAACCTTACGAGATTCTTCTAAAATATTCGGAGAAAACACAATTTCTTCCAGTTCCTTCTGCAACACCTGAGAATTTTCTCTTGGCATTATTCTGTGATAATTGCTTGTGCGATGTCTGGAGTAGACATAATACTATTTTACTGAAATACCGAGTGAAGTTAGGTGGTGAATAGTCACCATGTGATACAGTTACAGATGTATAGTTTCGCATCATGAAAACATGTTGTGTGTGAAACTACTTCTCGAACTCACTCTCACTGCCCTCACCCCATCTTCCCACGATATAGTGCCAAAAATACTCAAATGTGAACTATGAAAATTCGCGGAAGAGTCAAGATCGCGTTCGCGAAAATGGCGTGTCACGGAGGAATACGGATGTGGAAAACAATTCTTTTAACAATTTCAATTAAGGGTTCTCACATAGAAGGAAGCATTTTTGAAATTTGAGTCTCGAACATGAAATGCAGTAAGTTTAATTTCCTTTAAAGCTACGTGGCGAAACCGAGTTTCTAGCAGCTGACCTTTAGGCTAGAAAACGGTCTTTGGTTTTATTAAGCCTGAAAATCGTATTGTACGAAGTTGGGCTTATTGGATCAAAATTAGGAAATTAAATTTGATATCCAGGATCTTCGAAACTTACCTACTTTTTCTAGTTACCAGATAAACCATTTCTGCTTCATTATTATCAAAATGCGTTTTCTTCGGAGGTGGAATTTATTACAGATTGATCCTACATAACTTGGTATTATTTAAAAGAAATATGAATCTTGAGTGCAACCTAGTTTAAAATTAAAATGAAGAGTTCTCAGGATCCTTGAAAAAAGAAACTGACAGCTTCATGCTTGGTGTTACTCTAGAAATTGTCGTTGCGTCTATAAAATGAACAGTTCGCAGAATGTTTACTCTCGAGGACGAGGACGCAATCGAAATGACCACATTGCATCTGCCACGTCATGGAATTCAGAAAACACTACTAATCGTCAGACGAAAAATAAAGTTTCAGATGATGAAGAAGGCGGTTATGCTGTCAATTTGCGACTATCAGCTGTTACACACGGTGTCGTTTGTCATGTAAATGATCCCTATCATACATATACGCTGAAGGGCTATCACACGTTCAACCACTACTTCAAATTATTAGATCCCATACACGGTGGTACATTTCCAGACGTTTGGAGTGGTTATTATCACATAACATTAGGCAAATTCAAACTAAACTATAAACAGAATTTTGGTACACTACAAGCAATCGAAAATGAACTAAGCACAAAGTTGAACGAACTCGAACGAGAGACAAAAATTAGCAAGTCATTACCTCAGATATTTAGTACTGATGAACTATATATTCACCCTGGGCAATATCGACTAGATGATCGAAAAGATACGAATTTCGTAGTCTTCAAGGTCACACCAAAATCTGATGATTTCTCCAACAGGTTCATTTCAATCATGAAACAAATACGGCAAACCGTACTCGATGTTGGAGGGGAATGGGAAAGAGCAAAAACGATCGAAGATTATGTTCGCCAACTACATGTTACTATACGAAAGTATCCGACGTCCGATTTCACCGCCGATCCCTATTGGACACAGCAGCAGATACTTGCTAATGCTGGTGTTTTGAGAAGACTTGTTCATGATAACCCACTAGAGTTCGAATGTCAAGCACTCGATGTCTGTCAATCTCGCCGACAGGGAATTGCACGCCGACAGAACGATCTGAATTATCAGTGGTGGTCAGGAGTGACAGAGATAACCAAATTCAGTGGAAAATGTACGGGCTGCAATTTCGTAAATAGCAACAGAAAATGGGACGGTTGGTGTTCGAATTGCGGCGAATATGAAGTGAATAAACCTGTTTGGTCAACAGATGAAATATCCGTATCTCCACCGATTGACTCGATGTTGTCCGCACTAGTAACTGCCCCCGTTACGATTGCGAAGCCAGGAAGAGTCACGAAAATGTTGTCGCTGGATTTTATTGTACCTGTTGATAATGAAAGTGAACCGCTGGACGAAGATTTGACTGATACAATTTGCAGTATAGAAGAGCACCTATCTCTCCAATAACTGTTATATTTCGCTTATCTGTGTATTTCTATGAATGTGATCTAAACTACAGTAATTAACCGGTTTGCGAATAACTGCCCTTTTTTTTATGTATTTCTTTCCTGGGTTGGACATGGAAGTTAGGAAAAATTTATGTTGTATAAAAATAAATAGTGAGCTAGTTGAAATAAAACTCGTAAAAGACTCATAGATTCGAGTCGCAACTCTAAAAGGTTCACTATGCTTACTGATCCAGACGCAAGTTTGAAATGCACTTTGAAACGTAGAGTTGGCTGACTCATCTTTTTCTATTGAAAATATTGCTAACTCTGTCTTTTACTGGCAGGCGACAAAATTTGACCGCAATAGAAGACCACTCTTTAGAACTCGACTTGCGGGAAGACCAGATGGTCTTCTATTATGGGGGGAGGGGGCGGGGTATTCGGAATCAGCATGGTCGATAATCTATAACTCACTATATTGGATCAGAAAGCGATTTACCACTTCGGATGGTTCCCTCGTAAGTGAAAAGAGAAAAAAAGATCATCGTGATCTATAGCAGTTGAATACATGAAGATGAATATCGTTCATATAGCAGCCAACATCATCACTAGTGTTGAAATACCTTATTTCGATTGTTTTTGACCACTAGTGCTTCGAAAAGGTTCGGCAGAAAAGTTTTAACTTCAAAACTAGAGAAATTAAAGTGAAAATAAAAGAAGGTTTTCCGAAGATCTTCTAGAAAATCTTTACCACATGGTACTGAAATCTCGTTAAACTTCTACGTCCAGTTTTGAATTCTCTATCCAATCACGTTTGAACCAAATGTCCATCTCCTAGCTAAGGTGAGCTACAATCATTCGAAGAAATGTTGAATTTTTAAATTTCAACTAATATTGTAAAACTGAAATCTTGAGTTGAAACCTTGATTTTTCAAAATGTTCGCCTTTCGAGGCTGAACCGGAATACGTTGTTTAAAATGTTCCATGTCCTAATGCTGATTTTTAAAACACTTTTAGTTGAACTAATGTAGTCCAAAAACCACGGTTTTCTGGAAGTCATACTTCCAAAGGTTTTGAAGAAAACTTTCTGGAGACAAAAGGAAAGAGAGCATCGAGAAACCCTTATAAACCAGAACAGCTCCATAGCAATCCATCTTGGTGAAATAGCCTAGACCAACTTTCTGGTGCTTATTTTTAGTTCACAGCCAACAAGAACTTTTAAATAATAATGATCAAAAGGACAGATATTAAGGTCTGCAGAGCACACAACCCATGCGCTACTTTCTTTTGTTTTCAAATACTTTCTTTTGTTGTTGAACAGATGCATTTTTGTCATATTAATTGCTTAAATGTGATAAAAACAGAAGCCATGTATACAGTTTTTTCATGGTGCAGAAGAATCTACTATTTTTAAACGTTTCAACTTAACATTCTGGCCAAGAGTAGCTACCATAGCAGACTTGACCGTGTCTTTTTGAAGAGAAAAATTATCGTAAGCTTTAAGATTATATTTACTTAACTGTATGCGGGATGTATTCGATGTGTGGAAAAAAAGAAGGGAGAAAGAGAAATTCGTTTGAAAAAAGTGAAGTATAAAAGGAGAACATGACTAAAATAAATATTATGAAAAAATTCTTTTTTTCATCTCAACAATCACACTAGTCATTGCACAACTTTTCATACTTCAATCAACATTCCGTTTTTCTCCAATTTGAAAGTTTTGTTTTAGACAAACATTAGATGGTAGCTGATAACGTTTAACTCCAGAGTTCCGAAGTGTTACCTGTTGAGGTAAGTGTAAAAGTGATTGTACATTCATTGTGTATCAAAATCATGTGTTCCACCCTTTTCCGTTGTCATGGAAGAAGCGAAAGACAAATTTAGCTCAATATCATCCATTTTATCTTTCTCGATCTGGCAATAGTTGCTAGTTCGGGCAAGGTCGATATTGCCTGTTTCGGCAATATATCTTGCCAGATGTATTGATCGACATACATTTATTTGTACTTTATGCACATTTATATGAGTACGAAAGGCTTCTAGGTTTCTTTGTGAAACTCCCTCCAAGACTTCGAAGAAGACGCAGTTCCAGCTATATAGTCAAAAACCGGTGTAGTCATGCTTTCCGATAACCTGCTTAAAATCTGAAACCACTGTCGGTCATAACCTCTTAAAATTGTGGTCATAACTTCTGAAACTGACGATCACAGTCACTCAGGTCGGCCGCAGCCTCTTACGTACCTGTCTGATATCGAGTGATATCAGGAGAATGCGTTTTAGGCGGTCACAATCTCTTAAATAGTCGGTCACAACTTGTTACGAGGACGGTCACCACCTCTTGAGAAGACGACTATATTTCTGCAACCATTTTTTCTAAGATCAGTTTTTATGTTACAAAGTTTTCTAGTATTTTTGCATCGAGTGGCTTTTATTCTCCATTGACTTTTTTAAAAAAATAATGGACGATTCAGTTATGAAGAGTGTACACGGACAATGCATTACTTGATGAACAGTGTCATAAGACACATAATCGAACGCCGTCGATTTAAAACATGTTTATATATGAAATACCGATGAATAAGTTTCACTTTTAGTTTTTTGAAATAAAACACAGTAGTATCAAATCGTTTCTAAGCAGATTTCTCGCTGATTTTTATTGACCTGCCTTGATCAGTATAGGGAGTTTTACCTTTTGGTACCGAACGTACCACCCTGATAAGGTCGTTTATATAAATACATAGGAAGTTGTAGTTAAGTGTATCAAGAATTGTGATTTAAGATGAATAAAATTCTGTCAAATAAGTGTGAACATATTTAATAAATTTCATGAGTGCTCTTCTTTGCTTTTATCTGTATTCATTCTCTAACTTTGTACTTTTATAGACAAAGTTCTTTTTGTGTCGAACAGTCGTATAGTTTTGTGGTCTAAAATGAACAAGACAGACAGACTATCGTTTATACTTTATTTTAAGACTTATACGAGGAGAAAAACTTTTTTCATTTCTGTAATAAACTCATCCAGGCACATATTGATCTCGAAAATGAGGCTTCTTACCTAATCTGGCATATTGTCCGTTCCAGCAGTGAACCCCTAAAAGGTGCTCCTTCGCTACTCTGGAAAAATAAGCACCGCTCCACTGTGGGTAAGCGTCCTTTTACGCTGTTTCCGACGCTCTTTCAAGTGGTATAAGTCACTTTATGCGTCATCGCTTGCATTTTTGCGCTGATGCGTTGCGAGAAAAAATGTGCAGATCTGGCCGAAAGGGGCAAAGTACTCCTTGCCCGATCAGACCATATTGCCTCATTGGGCCAGAAGTCATGACAACGGACTGTCAGAAAAGAACGACATAACTAACAACTCTTTCTAGCTACATCCTTGTACTCACCAGCAACATTCCAACGTAATTTCTCGAAACTGGTTTGATTTTTGATCATTATGTCTCTAAATTGTTGTTTATATGGTTCTATTTGGCATGTATTTTGAATCCTAAGATAAAGAATTGCTTGGCAGAAAGTTGACCGAGCATCCAGAAAATTAATTCCTATGCAGTTTTCCAACTCTTTCTTGTACTAAAGTTGGTTTTGGGCGATAGGTACAATAAGTTTTTATCAGTAATCGTTTTGGTGGTAATTTTAGCGTTTTATATAGCGATCGGAATATACGGTTTTTTAATATACCTCCATTGGAATATAGTGCATGGGCCCTTCTGATTGAGGAATACACTATTAGTGATATATGTCAGACAATTGAAGGTAGTCAGATAGTGGAAATCACTATATATATGTAAATCACACTGATCGTACTGACGAGGGAACATATGTAAGTGTCAAATCGCTTCCGAGCTGAAAACATGCTAGTTATACGTTATCAAGGGTCCTAAATTCGAATATCGACACGAGAGTTCCCCATGGGACTTTCAGAGATCCAGGTTTCAAAGGCAAAAGCTTACTTACAGACCAGATTGTAGAGTGTGGTTCAAAACATCTGGAAAACTAGTTTTTAGAAGTTTAAAAAGGGTTTTGGGCCCGTAAGAAGACTTTTTTCCGCTTTTAACACAGGGAAATTTGAAGATATTTTGTGTCTTTTTACACGTGTGTACGCGTGATCTTTTAGTATAATACTGAGTGTAGTCTACTTTTCGTCTCTCTATTTTCTTTTTTCTATAACCTATAACTAGCATGTTTTTAGCCCGGAAACGATTTGACACTTACATATGTTTCCTCGTGAGCCTGCTAAACCGATGAGAAAGAAGTGGATGAAATTTAGTAAAGACTATACGGATTCAGAATGCGAACACGTTTTGCAGGTGAGACATGTGTCCTTTTCTATAACTTAATGCATAAGTAATGACTATTTTTTCAGACGTGAGAAATACAGCAGCCGGTGCAAATCATTTGTTGTAACTAATTATGTCATCTTATAATACCTATGGATATCGACAGGGCGGTCGAGGCGGTACTGGCTATCGTGGCAGAAATTACGACAACGGTAACTATCAGCCGCGTTATAATGCATCTACACTCACTGATAAAGAAGAAGAAACCATCAATCGAAATTTTGGTGACTTGTTCAAAAAGGACTATCATTTTCCTCTGTTGACCGAAAAAGACAAGGCTCCAGTAAACGTTAAAATAACTGAAAAACTATTCACTACTGAAAGATGGAAAATACCTGAATTAATGGCACTAAAAGAATCAATAAACACGACTCGTAATCGTTTGAATGAAAAAGACATAAAAGTGTGGCATGAACACACACGAAAAACTAATATGACCGGTCAAGTTGCATTTACTCTTCGTAAACGTTTTAATATCGAAATGTGTACGAACGCATGGATTAAAATGACCGAACTACTAGTTCGATATCGACTCATACCTATTAATTTACCGGAGAAATACTTCCGCTCCATTCATCTATGTGAAGCACCAGGTGCGTTCATCTGTGCCACGAATCATAAACTTCGTCAACAACATGGTAGCTGGGGCATAGGCAGAGTTGCACCAGAATTCAAATGGGAATGGACCGGGCTCTCTCTGAATCCCTACTACGAGGGAAATGACGCAGCCGCAATGGTAGACGATGATCGTTTCATCGTCGAAACGTATAAATCATGGTTTTTTGGCGTAGACAACAGTGGTAATATCTTGGATCAGGAGAATATTCGCTGTTTATGGTGTGAGAAGAAAGCGTCACTGGTAACTGCCGACGGTTCGGTTGATGCTTCGGGCGATCCGAACGAGCAAGAATCGATAGTCAGCGAACTTCACTACGCTGAAGCTGTGACAGCTATGGGTATACTGGAGAAAGGCGGTTCATTAGTTCTCAAAATGTTTAATGTTTTCGAATGTGAAACTGTCTGTCTACTCTACATTCTAGCTGTTCATTTCAAAGAACTCTCGATATCGAAACCAGCGACATCGAAAGCGGGCAACGCTGAGACCTACGTTGTTGCACGCGGCTTTAATGGTATATCGAGTGAACTACTGAAACACCTACTCAGCTTCGTGTCACCCGTATTTCCGCCAAACGTGGCAATGTTGCCACTAGAGTCAATAAAAGAGGATAAATATTTTCTCAGTGCAATGATCGAATGTGCAACTAAATTCACCAATTGGCAAAAACAGGCGATCGAAAGAAACCTGGAGTTAGAAGATTTGTGGAACTCGAATGTGGCTACGGCAGTGTCAAATCAGGTTCGTGACGTGACTGAGGCCTATATATCACAATATCATATCAAAGAAATTCATCGAAATGATAGAATTGTAACGTGGCTAGAACTCGATGGTTCAGCTAAAAATCTCGGTAACAGTGCATCGTTGGCTCGTGGTGGACTTCAGCAACGGACAGGCGGCACACTTAAGAACAGAAGAGAGAAAAAACGCAAACGAGAAGAATTTGTGGTGGGGGATAAGGATACGAGCGAGCCTGAAACGAAAAAAGTAAATTTAGGACAGGGAAGCAGTGTAGTTTATGGACGACAAGATATACCAGAAACTGTGTCCAGGTTGCCTTTACGTTCAAATACTACGATTGAGGTATCGAGTTCCTCAGACTCAATGTCGATCGGTATGAGATTGATGAAAAAAGCTGGGTATAAAGAGGGTCAGGGTTTAGGGGCGTCAGAGCAAGGTCGAGTTAATCCTATTGAGGTTTTTCAACGAGAAGGTAATGCAGGCTTAGGCCATCATAGAGCGGCCATTGACGATAGTGATGACGACGATAACAGCATGCCCACAGTGCCCGATGAACCCTTTTTTGATGAAAATAAACTGCCGCCATCGATTTCATATTCTCAACTTCCGATTAACAAGAATTGTGTGTTGGTCGGACATAAAATCAAACATGTTATCTCATCGCTTTTTGTGCGTCCTGATAAATTTCAAAAGTTGTATCAAACACGCGAAGTAATTCATAGCTTACTGGTTAAAACAGACTCATTTAAGTCATATTCCAGACAGTTATTTTTAAGTGATTCCCTCGACAGTATTCCGTTCGATACTCGTTTTCAATATCCCGAGACAGCTTTGCAATTATCATCACTCGATAAAAAGTTTAATATTCTTCCTTGTGATACCCTGCGACAACAGCTACCGTTCCTTGTCGTGTCTAATAAAGATCAAGGTTTCGTGGAATATATTTCATGGCAGCAGCGCGATTTGTTGAAAGGACAAGCCTTTGTTCCTTCTTCCTCCTTATCTTCCAACAGTATCATCTCCTATCATTTATTTACTGAGTTTTTTACTGTCGATCAACCGGTTCGAGAAAAAGTGTCTCTCATCGTCGCTGATATTTCGGCGTCTCCTGATGTAGCCTTGAAATCGCGATATGTTGAATATGAAATGAAACTTCAACTTACTCAATTATGTCGACATGCCCTCAAATGTCTGACTGAAAACGGTCATTTCGTGTGTAAAGTATCCGACGTATTTACTCGATTTACGGCCGGTGTTATTTATCTTCTCTATAAATCATTCAAAAATATTCAGATTTGGAAATCGTTTACATTGAACCCAGCTTTGCCCGATCGTTTCCTCGTTTGTCAAGGCTATTTGCCTATTCGATCGACCGGTTTCATTGAACATTTGGATTATGTTACTGCTCAGCTGACAGTGAACAGAAGTGATGTACTAGAAATTGTGCCAATTAACTGTCTGTTGGAAAGAGAATTTCAGATCTACTTGGCTGATTCTGCTCTGTATCTCGTTCAACAAGAAACTCAAGCATTGAAGAAATTATTGTGGTGTCATAGAAATGAGAAGCTGTCGTCCATGAGTATTAAGAAGCATTTGATAGAAGCCGCTAACCTTTTAAATAATACGCGGAGAAAAGTGATTGTCATTGAGCCCGATGAGGGGCTGAAATTACCCAAAGGTTGGACGAAAAATTTTAGCGAATCCAAAAAGTTGTGGTACTTTTTTAATACGGAAACAGGACAGTCAATTTGGGAACAGGACTGGAAAGGGGGGACAAGTTAGTCATTTATAATATTGTTTTAATCAAGGTTTTTCTTTCCGATATATATGTTCTTTTGAATGTATCGTGTTGTAAAAAATAAATCTGTATTTCTTTCTTTTAATTCGTCCAACAACGTTTCCTGTTAGAAAAGTCGGTAAGTATATTTGTCCACCTCAGTTTTATTGCATTTCTAATCAGGATCAAGAGAAAAAAAAGTTTTTACTACTTTGTTAAATTACATAGCAACTGTCATGTACAATGAGTAACTGTGGTGAAAGCACGTTACATTTATAATTCCATTTTGATATTTCTTCTTAGGCAAACACATCGCTTGGACAAATACAAGGGAAGAGAGAAGAAACGGAAAGAGGAAAAACGATTTTCTTTTAAGAATTTTACTTTTATTACATTATGATTGAAATTCAAAGAGGGTGAAAGAAAGAGAAAATAGAATTTTTTTGTATAAAAGAAAGGTATATGAGTACCTTGTAGTTGCCTATAATGTCAAATGGTAATTCTAATGAATAACGGTAATTTCACAGTTCACAGAAAGAGTTTTCGACAGCCTGTTTCGACAGTGTCCAGTTTCGAGTCAAAAAAACTTCGACACTGTCTAGTTTAGAGCGAAAATTTTTCGAAAGACTAAAAATTCAACAGATTTCTCACTCAAAATTCGACAGTGTCGAAGATTTTCACTCGAAATTCGACACTGTTGAAAGCCTGTGAAGTTGGTGAAATTATAGATAAACTTCGAACATTTGTTCGAATGATGAGAAAATCTAGTATATTGAATAATGCATTAAACGGTTGGTAAGATTAATGCAGAATTGATACTTAATATGACAATTAGATGGAACAGTTCATTCTGCATGATATGACGATTTTTAGTCTATCAAGAATCGATTTTGAAATTGTATAATGAATTGGATTTCCTCCGTATAACACAGCCACGGAAAAAAATTACAACTAACACAATTGACAGACAGTGATTTGGTAACAACAGATTTTACCAAATCAGTGTTGGAACGGTTTAATGAATCAACTGAAATCTTATCTGCTAAATCCTAGCCAACTTGGCTGGTAGTCTATTCTGTATTATTTGCTCTGTTTTACTTTCAAGAAGTACAAACAACCAACGATACAATATAATTTTTTTGAGGGTGTTCTACTTTTAAAATGTTGAATACTATCCCTCAATAGCTCAATAAAATCTTCTCGAAGCAAACAAAAATAAACGTCTGAATAATGTTCAAGTGACTCGTTGACACCGTCAATAATATTTCGACGCGAATAAGCATATTGATTGTGCGATATTTCACGTATCAACGATAAAGTGTTCAATTGACGATAATCGTTAGATAGAGGATGATCAAGGTCTTGATAAGCGGAGGCATTTATATATTGTTGATGTTGTGCAACAATCTCTTTTTGTATCAACTGGAATAGGATAACAATCAATGTAGCAGTTGGAATCTGCAACGTAGCAAATCTTTCCATTGGCATCTCGAGCAAATGTCTGCTGTGAAGTTTCTCAATACGATAACGATTTTTTCGAATTATCGTGGAACATATGAATAAGGGAACATAAGTGAGAGAGATGGCCATTAAAAATAGAACACAGAGTGTAGACAACGTATATGGTCTAGGAATTTTTCTACCGGACAGTCTTTAAAATCTTTTCCAGAATACCACTAAAAAATTATCTGAAAAAGTTAAATCATGACTCTGTATGACCGTAGAGGCTGCACGATGTTTGAATTTTTTTGGGTGTTAAATCGATATCTATCATGCGTAGGATAGTGTACAATGGGCGATGGAAACCACTTGTCTGAGCGCGTGTATGATAATTATGTGGTTTCGACAAATAGACTTGATATCCATCTGACCCTTTTTTTACTTTCAGTTGAAACTGACACAATGGACACTTTTTGTGTTCCGGAAATGTATATGTAATAGATGTACCGATGTTAAATGTTTCCTTTCAATAAACACAAACATGTTGACCTTTAATAAAATCTAATAAATCGTTTCGCATAATAATCGCTTTTACATAAGAGCACTTTATTCTACGTACGACGTGATATTTTTAAGTTTATAGTTAGAATGAAGTTGAAAACGATACCTGTAATATAACATCAATGTAAGAACATGATTATAATGTGTTCTATGCACATGTTTTCGTTTGTCATTATTTCAAGATCTTTTATGCAGAAATTGTTAATTGACATTTTCCGAGATCTTTTATTTTTACGTCCGTTATTTAAACAATTGTTGATAATTACAATGATCAAATAATAAAACTAAAAAAAAAGTTTTTCATCTGCAGTTACGAGAAAGACATGAATTTAAACAGACTACCCTAGTCAGAAACCTATACATTTCTTGACAGGATCCTGGAGAAATCCGGCCATGATCCCGCCATTTAGCTGGCTTTTTGGTAGGATCCTATGAAAATCTTACAGAATCCTAAAGAAATCAGGTATACCGGAAAGTTGTAGGATTTGCCAGGATTCTGTTAGGATCCTAGCAAGAATAGGCATGCAACGGTAACTATTATCGTCTCACCGATTATCGGTCCTTACCGATTTAACGTCCAACTCAAATCAAACACACTTCATGAATGTAAGTGTGATTATGCAGAAATTGTATTTCATTTCTTAAGAAATGAAAACACTATTGAAATCTACTCTACCGACTCTTTCAGGTGATAAAATATCAGGAGAAAAGCATTGACTTTGATCGTCCTTTGGTAGGTTACACTGTGAAAGTGTTTAACTTTTCCACATTTGTAAGTAGACGAAAGCCTTGAGACTCTTACGGTAGTTCCTTTTATAAAATATGGATTAAAACTGACTGAGTTATGAAGAATAAATTGAACATATACGTGTTGAATCTCTAAAGATATTGCCAAGAACTGAACAGAAACATATCTTTTAGATATATCGTGCATATCTGAGAAGAGACATTTTATTTGCTAGTTCTCTGATATAAAGAAAAGAAAAAAAGAGAAAGGATCAATAAAGAACGTTAGCTGAGGGCATGAGTTTATTCTCAGTACAAACTCACTCTCTCTATTCTGATTTTGCTTTCGATCGCTAGCAAGCGTTAGAAACTTTATTGGTTTTATCGGTAAGAAGCGATAATCGGTAAGAAACGATCATCGGTAAGATATGATAAAACCGCTAAATTATCGTTACCGTTGCATGCCTAAGCAAGAAAATGCGATGACTGAATCATAGTGTTTTATTTAGGATTTTAGTAGGAAAAGATAATTCTTGAACAGGAATTTCATAGGATTGCTTATATGTTCCTATCTCTAGTGAAATTTCTCCATCCGTTCTCATTATTTGACCAAAAGTTACTAAATATTTCTTTGTAACTCTAAAGCATTTAAAAATAGCGCGTATACATTTATTGCTTCAACCTGAGATTAACTATCCTTATTCATTAAGAAACAAAATCCTAGGAGGACCCTAAATGTTAGGATCTGAGATTCCTGGTAGAATCTCAGACATCTCAGATCCTGTCAGGAAATTATTAGGATTCTACACCGATCATAATAGGATCCTGGTAGGAAACAAATAAGAAGTGCATAGGATTTTGTCTAGGCTAATCTCTTACAAAACTTAACTCTTCTAAATAAATTGAATAAATTATTATATTATTTATATTTTCTTAGATATGAATGTTTTATTTTGTTGATTTTTTAGTCCCTAAACTTCAAAATGATTCAAAAACATAGTTGTGAACAAACAAGATTAAAACAACGTCGAGATTATTAATTAATAGAACAAAACGATTTAAAGAATTTATTAAATCCATATGAAGTTGAAAATTTAATTTGATTAGCAAATACCGTTATGGTTAAGATTTGTATTAAATTATAAACGATATTAATCATTTTCGAATATGGATAGATGAAGATATGATTACATTTTCAAAAACAATTGCATAACAATTCTTTGTTTGAAGTATTTATATTCTTTACTTGTGTAATTTATATAAATAATGGTTCAAAGAATTAAAAATTAACATTATGTGTCACTCAGTCAGCCTAGGGATACGGGGAGGGATGAAGGAGCGCTGAAGGGAATATTAGATTAACAATGTTGTGTTGAGTAGCCTTATTTCCCTGTCTTAACTGATTAACCCTTTACGGCCGAATGTTGACTACCGGTAACATTGCAGGACTGTTTTATGAAGAACTCTTTCAAACTAGTGTTGAATATTGATCTCATATCGTGATAATTAAGGACACAGATTGCACAATTTATTCATCTTTCATTAGAGATCATTATGTATTGCTTTCTCAAAATAACCTGGAAAAAGCTAAACAGCTTGAAAAATATAATCATAATTATCGTTTTTCTGCACATCGGTTAAACTCAGTGTGCAAGTCACCTACTCAGAAACTTTCTTTGATAGATTATCGATATGCCTCATTATTAACAACAACGTTAAAGTAATATATAATACAAAAAAAAGAAGATAACCTAGTATCAACATATGGATTCCAAAAAACCACGAAATATCAAACTCTGATAGACGTAAAAAACCTGACCTTTTTCAAATTTTTGTACCCTTATGGCCGGATGTTACCTAAAGGTAACATCAAGCCGTTCAACGATGGAGAACTTTTTCGCGGCAACGAACATACTTTTGGTATCTTCACGCTGATAGAACTACAAATACGCGGGAAAAGAATTTTTTACTCTCTCGCTTCTAGGAGCCGGCCGTAAAGGGTTAATTAAGGATTTCCCTCCCAGAAAAAGATGACTTTGGATCAAACAGCCGATTTTTAGATATTATCGAAATTTAAAAAGAATGCACTCGGGCAAAATGCTTATAACTTTTTAACGAAAAGTGCTGAAGACCTGCAATTTTCAGATTCTGAAACTGCGACGTAAATCTAGGAAAAAAATCAGGACGTCCGATCAGGTTTATCATGGCGTACTATTCGAGACAAAATCTGATAGTTTACCGTGCCCAAACCACACTATAACATCCAATCTCAAATAATAGCAGTCGATAGCCAAAACATTTTTCTACAGAACTACGCAAGGTCCAGGTCTTTGTCTCCTTTGGTTGTGGAGATACAGACGTTTTCTGAGGACACACCTATCTCGTTGCAGACATATCTGGGAATCTCAGAAACATGTGAATCATAGGTAATCGATCACGTTGATCATTTCCTTTCATTACCCACTGAACCACAACTCCATAAAATCCAATTTGATGAAAAGCCGGTTTTTCGCCTGATGCCGTCAAAAAATCAAAAACCTTGTATTTCGCTCATTTCTCGTCCAAAATGACTGAAATTTTCAGCGAATGATTAGCAGAGATCACAGAATGTAGATAGTATTGAAAAGATTACACAAGGTTCTCAGTTTATGCATACTACTTCTTAGTACGCACCTCTAGAAAACCTCCCTTGGACCCAAAGCTTAGATGAGATTTTATTTTGACTCGATCCACATTCTATGATCTCTGCTAATCATGTCCTTCTCCTTACTTTCAGAATATATATGATTTGAGTCTATACTCATGTTTTTTTCGGAGGAATTTTTAGAAGTTTTCTCGAAAAGATTTTAAAGGCTATTTAGTAGAAAAATGCGTAGTCATGTGTGTTGGAAAACTGATTGTGACGAA